CCCTATTACATGTGCACGTGGCGAACACATTGCACGTTCATACACTTGGTCATGCACCATATACAGACCATACATTAGTGCACCACATACCATGCACTACTAAGTGCAGCACAGACCAACACTTAGCGCACCACATACCAGCACGTAATGTATCACATAAATATACTTGATGCAAAAAATACAAAAATAACACCACATTTTTTTCCCTTTTCATTGATTTTTAATAATCGTTGATTTGAGCTTATTATTATCTAATGTATGGATTTGTCCGCGTAATCACATATAGGGAGGTTGTCGCATTTGATCATATATATATATTGCAATAAACAGGATGCATATGTTGACAAGGATGAAATCTTATCCTTTTGAATTCTTGTTCTTATGTATATATTCACGCAATATTATTAACAAAGACAGCTAATTTTTATGTATGCATTTATTAAAAAAAAAAAAAGAAATTTTTGTATTTTTATACCACATAATATTAAAACTTTTGAAAATAACGGATAAAATGAACAATAATACTACATGCTTTTATTTTTTCTTTACTATGAAAATGATGGCTTGCAGATAAAATATAACATGCACCACACAATTGATATGCTGCATTATATGATTGAGAAATTAAGACTTGCCACTTAACAATGTAGTTTGATAAAACAAGTACGTAATATTCAATATTAGTGTCTTGTGTAGACCGGACTTTTAGTCTAATTAATAAATATATCTTTTGTTAGAATGAAAAAATATGATAATTTCCTTCCATAAGTTACTAGACTTGATTTGGAACTTTTGACGTAATTATCATTTAAAAAATAATAAAGAAAGAGGCCTTTCGGTCACGTACGAGCTATTATGATCAAAAGTAGCAAGCTGGGTAATGGTCACTAATGCCGCAATTAGGCACTGAATGCAATTGGTACAATGGTACGTGGGGCGGTATCAGATTATACATATATATTATATTATTTCTAATATTAGCTCCCTATTATTTAATCCAATCCCCATTCAATTGGTTTGCCTTTTAAACCAAATGTATATGGACAAAAGTGCATCCAATCATCATAGTTAAAAAATACGGATTTATTTTTTTTGGTTATAAATTATGCTAGTAGTTAATTGATAACAAAAGCACACAAATAAACAAGATAATAGTACGGGGTATGAAAACAGTAGTTTTTTTGCTAAGCTATAGCCCAAATAGTGGACTATAAATATTAATATTGCTGCTAGGTATAGAACCCTAATGTATGTATGGGGTTAAGGTTAGGATCACAGGCCATTAGACCAGGGGAGATTTAGTGAATCATGTGCTTGGCCACACATGTTCACCCACTACTTTGCTTCCAGCACATTTCTCGTGCATAAATGGAGCTTTCTGTTTTCTAAACACATGATAAGTAGTGGCTTGGTGGGTTAGGGTGTGTGTTCCTTTATAGAGGTTGTAGATTTGATACCCAATGGCAGCACTTTTTTAGTTTATTTGGCTCCGTGCTTCATTCTTCCTTAGCAATAAAAATAGACACTCCATTAGGTCAAGACTTTCACAATAAAATGGACCCCATACTCTATCGTATTTTGACTTATGAATATAATAGTACCAAATTATGTGATTGGTTGTATGAAACAATGTGGTTGTCCGACACAACCAATTAAGTCCAAAACTAATTAGATATGTAGTACATCCATGCCTGTTTTGTTGGTTTTGTTTAGTGCCTTTGTGGTGGGAAACAGAAAAAATTAATTGACAGTTTGGCCAATCCAAGTTGAAGATTTGAGAAATGGGAGCAGCAATGTTATGGGAGTGGGAATTTTTTTAATTGTATCAACTCCTCAATTGACAATTTGACACCAATCATATTCTATCTCACTCAATATGTGATTTATATTGCAGCCGAAAGGCAGTCTATATATCGTGGACCACGGTGCATGTGCACCGCGGTCAAAACAACGTAGTTTCTTTAAGTAAAGAAATGGCGTGCCATTAGTTTTAATGGAGCGCGCATTTTATATATGTTAATTACCAATTGACACTACAATATATCTAAACCGACAGTGCCTAACGTATTATTTTTATATTATCAAATAAAACTACAGTTATATTAAAATGATACTGTAGTTGTGGTAAAATGAAACTGCAGTGTATATAAAATGAAACTGAATAACATTTTGCATATTTGAGTATATATTGTACAATGAAGCTGTAATTATATCAAAATGATCATGTAGATATGTTTTAATAAACTATAATCTATATAAAATAAAATAAAATTACATTTTCACATATTTGAGTCTATAAATATCGAATGAAACTGTAGTTATATCGAAATGAAACTTTAGTTGTGTTGAACCGAAACTGCAATGTATACAAAATGAAACTGAATAGCAGAGTTACTTTTTGCGAAACAGCGAAAAACAAATGTCGTTTCTTTTCATTAAACAAAACGACGTTGTTTTGATGCGCGGTGCATGATATAATTTGCCGCTGAAAGGGGACTGGGTTATGGGCTTTGGATGGAAGAAACTGGTGGCTTGTGGCAATCGTTATGCTATGGACCCGTTTCCAGCATGTATTGTGGACACGGTAACGGTGCCGTTAGTGGCACCGTTATCTTCCACTTTTTTTCTTTTTTTCTTTTTGTAATTTCATACCGCTTCGTTATAGGAGTATATGCTCATAATTTTAGCACTATATGTTCATAATGTCAGAGCTCTGTGTTCATAATTCTATAACTGTACATTCATACTTCAATAACTGTGCATTCATAATTCCGTAACTGTATATTCATAATTTTCGAAGCTCTATGTTCACAATTTTAGAGCTCTGTGTTTATAATTTTATCACTATATGTTCATATTGTAAGTTCATAATGTTAGAGCTCTGTGTTCATAATTTCATAACTGTACATTCATAATTCCATAACTGTACATTCATAATTCTATAACTGTACATTCATAATTCCCTAAATGTACATTCATAATTCTATAACTGTACATTCATAATTTTCGAAGCTCTATGTTCACAATTTTAGAGCTCTATGCTCATAATTTTATCACTATATGTTCATAATTGTAAGTTCATAATGTCATAGCCCTGTGTTCATAATTCCATAACTTACATTCATAATTCCATAATTGTACATTCATAATTCCATGACTGTATATTCATAACTCAACAAACGAATAACGCCTTTAACGTCGTTAACGGCGAGGCAAAATCAATTTCTTTTTTTTTTTTTTAACTAAAATGCCACGTTTTCCTTAAAAACGACATCTTTTTAGACTCGTGTCCATGCATTGTGGACACGAGTCCACAACATAATTTGCGGGCTTGTGGTGCTCCACTTAAGCCTTCATCACCCTTACTTCTAAAAAGGCCCCCATTGCATCATCGCCCACCCAATCCAAGGTCAATCTGTTGTTAGCCCATTTTTTTTTTTTGGATAATTTTGATCTAGTAGTAGTCCAATAAATTTAACTGGCCCACGCTGTTAGGATGGAATTGTGAGTCATTCATCCAATCGTTATGCTGTGCATCCGTATGCACCATGCATGGTATATAGATGTCAAAACGACGTCGTTTTATTAAAAAACGCGCGTCTCCCTTTTAAAAAAAATTCAGATTCGATTCCCAGCAACAACATTATATTGTTCATTCATTCTGGAATTTTAGTTCATAGATTATGGAATTATAGTTCATTGATTATGGAATTATAGTTCATCGATTATGGAATTGTAGTTCATCGATTATGAAATTTTAGTTTATAGATTATGGAATTTTAGTTCATTCATTCTGAAATTTTTAGTTCATAGATTAGATTATGGAATTATAGTTCATCGATTATGGAATTTTAGTTCATATGTTGTTGCTGGGAATCGAACATGATTTTTTTTTTAAGGGGAGACGCGCGTTTTATTAAAACGACGTCGTTTTTGCATCCGTATGCACCATGCATGGTGCATACGGATGCACGGCATAATTTGCCATTATCTCAAGAAATTTAATTACATCACGCGGTCTAGACTTATTTATACTCCTCAAATGCATCAAAATAACAAATTAAAAATATTTATGAACGCACGGCGTGAGGTCCACCTTGACCACCGGGCTAAATGTGCAACTTTCCAAACCTCACGCCTATGAGATCCAAGCTCAAATCGCCGATGTTTGAGGTTGCCGTGCTTCAAACTTCTACGAGTTAATCTAGCACTTCATAGGTGTCAAGTTGACTGTAAAAACTATAAACAGTATTATGATTTCCGACCTCATGCTGACACGACGTGAGTATTAGTGTGAGCCCGAAATTTAAAGAGTTGCACATGCTGCTCATAGTTGTGAATGTGATTGTGAACATCCTCCAGCTTCTCATTTGCTCCGTTTCCATCATTCGACATGATGTGCCCGTATGTCTTCATTTCGTGCTATCCTAGCTACTTTTCACCTACAAAATGATTTATTCCTTGCCCGTTATAATATTTGTCCAATCTTCCTTATATACAACCAACAAACAATTCAATTAAGAATAATTTTCATCTCAATCTCGTTAAGATACACATCAAATAAATTTAAATGAAGTGCATCACCAAACTAATTTATAACTTATAAAGAGAGCACACTGAACAACAATTATAAATTTTTTCGTAAATTAAAGACGTTATACTCTATTCCCTCACTTTTACTCTTTGATATAACAATTAAGAATATAATATTTTTATCATGTGAATCTCATAAAAAGTGTCTGCATCAAGAATTTATGAAAGAGAGTAAAAGTTGAGAATAAAAATGGGAGTCTATATACTAATTCCCAAATTAAAGTTATCTAACCTTACCAATGTCGGACCAAATTTAGTCCTCGTAAGTTGTAACGCACGAACAGCCACGAAAACTTCACCTACAATGCACAACTTGAGGTTGACACAAGTCTCATCCAATCATTACCCAGCGTATCACAGACTGGTCCATACTACCTATGTTTCCCACCAAGCCTCCAACAATTTTTTTTTTCTCGCCTCCCGCGAGTCCCCTCTCAATTTTCATTTTCATTTCGAATTTCGCAGCAATCTTGGAGCCAAACCTCCCCAGTTCACTTCCAATTTTTAGTACGCAAATATTTTATATAGTTTTTAAATTCTAAAAAAAAACACACAAAATATAAATATACAAAATTGAAGTATCCCTTACACGCTCGTTTACATACAGAAAATTATATCCAAACCCGGAAGCCATAGTGCATACCATCGATCTGTCATCTTCGTCGTTTCAACAAACTTCAATCGCAGCTTTCGAATTTTTCGCTTTCTTGGCTTTATCGTCTTCTCCCGGAGAAGTATCGGTTTTTCGTCAATTATCGTCGAAGATTCAGAATATTGTTTTGAGTGTATGTTAACTTTTTATCTGAAATTCGACGACTAATCAGATTTTTATTTTTTATTTTTTCTGTTTTTACTGATTCTTGGTGCATCGCTGCTTCGAAATTCTGATGTTAGGGTTTTGGCGCAGAATTGGAGTGGATTTGGTTGTTTGATTAGCTATTCGGGGCTCAACTGGAGAAATCTCCGTGTTTGATTTTTCGTTTTGGTCGAAAGTTAGGGTTTTGGTTTCGGTTTATGAACAATAGTTGATAATTTATGAAATTTACTCCGTGCATATACAGATATGTGGGTTTATTTTCATAGTAGAAGGATATGGTTGTGAAACGGATTACGAAATTCGAAATGCCGAAGCTGAAACGGTGCATTGTGGCGGAAAATGATGAGAAGTTTTCGCCCAAGAGATTGAGAACCGATGAGCTTAGCGCCGTTCCAATAAATGAATTGGAGGATTGCAGCACCTGTTTAGCAGATTCTAGGTGCAGAGGGGTTTCGAGCAATGATGGTGAAGCAGAATCAAATATGGGGATTCCTGATCCAATTCAACCGTTAAGAGGCATGAAGAAAGGTTTGCAAGTGCATAATGCTCCGCCGTTCAAGTCTTCGCGAGGTCGTCTTCAGGTGCTTCCTTCTAAATTCAATGACTCTGTTCTTCATTCATGGAAGAAAGAGCGAACTGGCACTGATGAATCTGAGCTTTGTTTTAGCAATGGCGATTCTACATGTAACAAGAAGATATCAGAACGGAAAGGGTCATGTTCTGACTTGCATTTGTATAAGAAGCAAAGTTTAGATAGTCAGTTTAGCTTTGACAACTTGCATAACACAAAGTCTATTGATAATCTTGTGAAAGCCGAGGAAGGAGAGTTTGGTTATACAGGACAAGTGGATTGTGATAGTATATTGTATTCAAGTTCAAAAAGTTCTTTGACATCCATTAGTGGAGGTGGTGTTTCATCATTTATTGAGTCTCAACCAAAAGTGAAGAGTGGTTTTGTGAGGTCTGAGAAATACACAAAAGGGAAGGCTGAGAAGAAGGATTACTATGAGCCGGGCAACTTTGTTATGGGTGATATAGTCTGGGCAAAATGTGGAAAGAAGTACCCTGCTTGGCCTGCCATTGTTATTGATCCACGATGGCAAGCACCTGAATCTGTTCTTAGAGCTTGTGTTGCTGATGCAATTTGTGTGATGTTCTATGGGTACTCCAGAAATCGACAAAGGGTAATATATATATATATATATATATATATATATATATATATATATATATATATATATATATATATATATTTTAAATTTGAATAGTAACTTTTCCAATGCTTCTATACCTCCTTAACTGCACTCATGTCTCATGGAGATAAAATGGGTTGTGATAAATTGTCTACATTTATAAACAATGTGCTTGAGTAAGGTAATATATTTAAGGCTGTTGTTTTATGTAGGATTATGGATGGATCAAAGCTGGAATGATCTTTCCTTTTCAAGAGTACATGGAGAGGTGAGTATAAGTTTTAACGTTGCCTATCTACTGATTTTTGTTAAGTCTTGTTAATTTGATCATCAATGCTTTCTTTCCACAGATTTCAGGGACAGACAAAGTTGTTTGGCAGCAGGCCAGCTGATTTTCGGGAAGCAATTGAAGAAGCAGTTTTAGCTGACCAGGGTTACCTAAATAAGGATTCTGAAAACTGGCAAGAGACACCTTCATTTGTAAACCAAGCAGAAACTGCAGAGGACACAGGATCGAATCTTGAGCTTGAATGCTGTTTATCTGGCCAGGCAAGATTTGGAATTTATCTTATGTAGTTAGTATTAAAATGGATTTGGAGAAGTGGTGTAATCTATGTAAAAATGTTGAACTATGAGTTGTAAGAATGCTAAACATCTTGAAAGCATGAACCTACTCTCTAGTATACTATCCTTTTTTTTTGCAAAATTATTGGTAATTTCTTTCTTAAAATGTTCCAAAAGTAATGCTTCACGTGCAACCTTTTATCTGCAGGATGCATACTATAAGAAGAAAGAAACTCGATCTTGTGACAGTTGTGGTTTAATTATTCCATGCCGGTCAATTAAGAAAGTGAAAGAGAAAAATGCTCAAACCCAATTTCTTTGTGCACACTGTATTAAGGTAAATTTTACCACCAAATATCTTATTACCTTAAACATTTTTGGTTGTGACATCTATCTTTTTTTTTTTTTTTTTTTTTTTTTTTTTTTTTTGCATTTTAAAATTATTTTTCTTATGTCAGTTGAGAAGATCAAAGCAATACTGTGGAATCTGCAAGAAAGTGTGGCATCACTCTGATGGTGGGGACTGGGTGAGGTGTCTTCATATTATTATTATTATTACTCCGTATTATTTTTAATCTGCCACCCTTATATTTCTGTTTGGCAATATGGTCTATTAGGTCTGTTGTGATGGTTGTAATATTTGGATGCATGCCGAGTGCACTGGTATTTCCGGCAATGGTTTTGAGGTCTGTACATTTTCATATGTATTCTTTGAATTGTTATTTCCTCTTTTGTTCATACTCGTATGCAAGTGCATGAAATGGTAGACTTAGTGAAGTTATTTTGCCTTTTTATAGGATCTGTCAAGCTCTGAGTATTTCTGCCCTGAATGCAAAGTAAAATCTAGTCATATTTCTGTGGATTTACGACCAAGGGAACAAAAAGCCAGGTACCTTGATTTACATGACATATGCTACTGCACTTTTATTTGGCCTCAACATTAGTTTACTTTTTGACTTGTAACTTCCTCACTGAAAATTTCTGGCAGCCTTTCAAGCAGGGCTATGGAAAACAACAAACAAACTGCAATGCCTGAAAAGGTTGAAGTTGTCTGCATGGGTGTTGAAGGAATTTATTACCCAAATCTTCATTTGTAAGTTCTTAAATTGAATCAAGGAAAAAAGAAAACTTCCTATAAATTTCTTAGTCTATAAAGGTTACTGATTGTGATCTTGAATGAAATTGACTGTTGTTTATCTTGTCTTATGCCTGAGTATTTTTTTGTTTTGTTTCAATTATCCTCTGGTTGAGGTGTGCTAAGTAGCTCTTTGAATTCTGATTAAGAGGAATATTAAATTGTTTTTATTCCTTATTATATCAGAGTTCAGTGCAAGTGTGCTTCTTGCGGGACAAGGAAACAAACACTTAATGAATGGGAACGACATACAGGATCCAGGGCAAAGAAATGGAAGCTTAGTGTCAAAGTGAAGGGTTCAATGATAACTCTCGAAAAATGGGTGTGTGCCAGATTTTGAAGTTTTAAACCATTGCCTTCTCTGCTTTTCTTATGCTTTCTTGCAACCATTATCTCATTATATTCTCTCAATGATGATAGTCTTTGAAATGACTTGTGGCCTCAGGCTCATTTTTTGTTAGCATAAATAAAATGGACTCGACACTTATTTTGCAATCTGTTACTCCTGATATTGCAGATTATGGATCATAGTGTTGCTGCTCTGAAGTTAGATCTTCAGCAGTTGTTTGCTTTTCTGCAAGGTAGTAGTGTTTCTCTGACGCAACTATATTGGGTTTCCTAATCTCTTCCTCTATGACTTTATAAAATACTAAGATTCTTGCCTTTTCTCTATGACAGAGAAGTATAAACCTGTTAATGCAAAATGGACTTCAGAGCGTTGTGCTATTTGTAGATGGGTTGAAGATTGGGATTACAACAAGATAATTATTTGCAACAGGTATCCAAATATCTGTCTTATTAATAATCTGGAGTTAGAGTAGAGGTAGATTTCTCTGTTCAGTTATGGCATCACCTTTTTTTTTTTTTTTTTTTTTCCAGGTGTCAAATAGCTGTTCATCAAGAATGCTATGGTGCAACTGACATTGAAGATTTTGCTTCATGGGTTTGCCGAGCATGTGAAACCCCTGAAATTGAAAGGGAATGTTGCCTTTGCCCTATAAAAGGTTAGTAGTTTATGTTTTCAATAGTTTGTTGATCAAATCTTGGTTTTCAAATGTAGTGTTCACTGAATGTTGTCTTTGTAGGGGGTGCACTGAAGCCAACTGATATTGACACCTTATGGGTTCATGTTACATGTGCTTGGTTTCGGCCTGAGGTTGCTTTCTTAGATGTTAAGAAAATGGAGCCTGCGACTGGCATTCTTAGGATTCCTCCAGATTCCTTTGTTAAGGTAGATCTTTTCTTATTTTTATTTATCCTTGCTTTTTGTAAAATATTAATATGTTGCAATCTCTTAAGTTGTTATATTGTGTTTCCATGAGAACCAACTTAAGACTTAAGAAGCCCAGTGTTGTGAGGGATTAGAATTGTCCTTTCTTTTGAGGTAGGGGATTGGAGTATCAAGTATGGTATTGAGGTTGACTGTGTGACTTAGTTCCTCAGTGGTTTCTAAGTTTCTTTGTCTGCAAATGTAACTAAAATTATTAACTGCTAGTTGAAGTGCTCAATGTTGACCATCAACATGCTCTTCTATGTACAAATTTGCAGGCATGCACAATTTGTGAACAAGTTCATGGTGCCTGTACACAATGCTGCAAGTGTGCTACTTCTTTTCATGCAATGTGTGCTCTAAGAGCTGGATACCATGTGGAAGTAAGCTGGATATTTTTTTTCTTTACCCTATATTAAAGTTCTGTGGGAATTACTTTGCTTTCCTTTTTTGTGGGAATGATTACTTAAATTGACCCAATTCTGAATCTCAGTTGAAGTGCTCTGAAGGGAATGGAGTGCAGTTAAGCAAATGGGTATCATATTGTGCCTTGCATAGGTGTGCATTATGCCTCATCACCTCTTTCATCCTATATTTTGTTCTTACTCCATTAGGATTTTGTGTTTTTCAGTTAGCATTTAGAAGTACTTTATTTTATTTTTTCTTTCAAGTAAGGGAATAATTAGTGTCATAAAATTTAAATTGCAGTAGTTTTCATTTTGTTTCCATTGATGTTACCAAACATTTTACATGCCTAGGAGGTGAATTTTACTACTATGTAAAATACGTATACTAAAAGGGTAAAAAATCTGAACTCTGATTTTCATCCTGATCTAATATTAATTCTTATGGCATATTGTTATATGGCAGGACCCCAAATGCAGACAATGTTGTGGTAATGCGGACCCCCTTTGGGGTGTTCTCCAATGGAAACTTGCTGCAGAAACAGAGTAAAGAACATTGCCCAAGTGGTTCAAGGCTCATTTCATCTAAGTGTCTTGAACTCCCAGATGCATCAGATAATGGGATCACTGAATTTGATCCTTTTTCTGCTGCAAGATGTCGTATCTTCAAGAGGTCCTGGAAGAAGGTATTGCACTCTTGATTTGCTTCTTCGTTTGTAATTTCCATGCAGGATTTTATGTGCCTTTTGGGGGGATTTTTTTGCCGTTTTACTTCTTCCTGCAATCCTGTCCACAGACCCCCTTTTTTGTTTTTAAATTCATTTTACTTTTTTAGTTTTTTTTTTTTTTTTTTTTTTTTTTTTTCTTATCTCCATAGTTTTATTTTTGCTAGAGAGATGGACAAGAGGCAGTATTTCATCAACTTATGGGGCCAAGGCATCATTCATTGGATCGGATAGAATATTTAAGTTCACACACTGTAATGGAAATATTTTGTCCATTTGTTTTTCCATTCCTGTTAACCTATCCAAGGGAGTAAGGGAATTGAACTAACATCACTATCTATCTTTTAGGAGGAAGTAGCAGATGTGAAGAGTTTTTCAACATTCAAAGAGCGCCTTATCCATCTACAGGCAAATACTTCTCTTCATTAGTCATAATTACTTTTGTCGCAGGCAAAAATAACTTCATAATTTGCTGGTTATTATTAAACTATTTGTCACTTAATTAAGTAATGCAGAAGTCTGAAAACCTTCGGGTATGTTTTGGTAAATCTGGAATACATGGATGGGGTGTTTTTGCACGGAGAAACATTCAAGAAGGAGAAATGGTATGTATGTTTATGTATTTTGAATTGTAATTCTTGTGCAATCAAACTTTACTATTCCTTTTTTATTGGATTATCCTTTTCTAGAGCAACCACTTTTGATTCCCCCCTCCCATGAACTAATTTTTTCAGTTGTGGTCTTAGGTCTTTGAATATCGTGGAGAGAAGGTGAGGGGCAAGGTTGCTGATCTGAGGGAGGCGAGGTACCAACTTGAAGGCAAAGATTGTTATGTGAGTTAAATTTTCATGTATTTCTCTATCCATACGGTTATGACTGCAAATGCAAAATGAATTTTAGATATACGTTGTACTCTTAAGCTGGGGATTTGTCTGACACCAGACTGTCCAGTTTAGCTGTCAAATGAATAAGCTAAACAAATTCTAAATCTGAAACTTGGCCACTATCTGAAATAAGTTTGCTGCCTTGGATTTATGTCAAAAATATCATTTCTATATTTGGTGTTTACTTTTTGCAAGGATTTCATTTGCTTTAGTTTCTCACTCAAATACTTTGATTTGTCTAATGCAGCTTTTTAAAATTAGTGATGAAGTTGTCATTGATGCCACCAATAAAGGAAACATTGCACGCCTAATCAATCATTCAGTAAGCTCTCTTATTGTTGTCAAAAGAGGGGTAGAGAATATTTAAGTTTTGAAAATTGTCTGTCTTGTTAGTGATTTATTTATTTATAAATATAAATATGTAAATGCTGAAGGGACTGAATAATGCATGCATCAGAGTGTATTTAGAAGGTTGTGTTTGTTTGATGTGTGGCATTGTATTCATTTACCTGATAAAAATTATTGATCTTTAATGCAGTGCATGCCCAATTGCTATGCAAGGATAATTAGTCTGGGTGAAGAGGAGAGCCGAATAGTTCTTATAGCTAAGACTAATGTTTCAGCCGGTGATGAGTTAACGTATGACAGCTCTCTGTCTCTGTTTATGTGTGTATATGTCTCTGTCTATGCGCACATTTATGGTCAATGCCAATGCCAACTTTGGTCTAATAACCTGGTTTTTGAATTCTCTTCATACTAGCATATGCCTAATTCTTTGTGTGACAGGTACAATTACTTGTTTGATCCCGATGAGCGTGATGATCGAAAAGTCCCATGCCTATGTGGTGCTCCCAACTGCCGGAAATTTATGAACTAGGTCAACAAATGTACAGGATTCTTTTGAGGATACAAAGCTGTTCAATTCTTCCCCATACAGTTTTGTGGATTCAATTTTGCTATACCCGTATCTTATATTTCTATAGTATAGCACAGCAGATTGGAATTGTCATAGTTGAGTTGAGCGGTAACAAATTCATGTGCTGTTTGGCTGGAATTTGTATTCTTTTTGGAATAGGTGCATAGTGTCTATTTAATTCAACTTGCGATGTAGTGAAAACTTTACATTGTAATTGATCATGGGAATGCTGCTGATACTGAGATTATAATTTCAATCCATTTACATCATTGTAATTATAATTTAGTCTATTAACATCATTGTAATTATAATTTAGTGTATTAACATGTGTATAATTTAGTCTATTTTAACATCATTGTAATTATAATTTAGTGTATTAACATGTGTATAATTTAGTCTATTAACATCATTGTAATTATAATCCATTTACATCATTTCAATCCAAATGTTGGTTTTACTCGATTAGAAATAAAGTAATTTTGTTTTGCAATGCTTGTGAAAATGCAAGACTATTAAAAATTTAAAATTAGTTTTTTTTTTTTTTTTTTTTTTTTTTTTTTTTTTTTTTTTTTTTTTTTTTTTGCCTTACAACACCTATTCCGTTGTTTGTTTGTTTTGGCTTTTTGTTTTTTCAAAAATAACATTTTTTTGGAATGACTAGGTCATGTTTGGTAAAATAGGTAACCTATTAATCAATTTTAACTTATTTGACCAACTATTAATTGTTTGACTTGATTAAACTTAATTAATTAGTTTTTTGTAATAATTTATTATTCCAAATAAGTTATCAGCTAACAAATAATTTATTAAATACTTTTTTTTACAATCAGCTAATGTTATAAACTAGTCAAATTCACTAACTCAATCAATTAACCGTCATTTACTAAACACCCCCTTTAATCCCTTTGCAAGAGTGGCATTTATGTGATGGATTCCCTTGAGACAATATTCATTAACTGATAATATAAAAGTGATTTAGGATCTTTTTTGTTTGTAATAGCTTAATTACTTTGCTTGTTAAAAAAAAAATAAATAAAAGGAATATAAATTTTATAATGTTAGACATTGTTATGTGACATTATGACACATGATATATCGATGATTTTGGCAAAATGTATTGTACACGTACGGCGGATAAAATTACTAGGCTTCAGCACACGCCCATTACAATTAACAATTAACAATCAGGATGACCAGGGATCGAGTCTCACCAGCGTCAGTATGGGAGCAACCTCTCAAAGTGAGGGGGGCTTCTTGTGCGCAGTGAGCACCGGTCTAGCCTCTATGGTTCATGTTCAGTTGAGTCACTGATGCGTAGTATATTTGCAAACAAATAATTCTCGGAGTACGAGTTATCGATCCACAGGGAAGTGGTTGTATCAAGCACTAGTTACTAACTTATTCATTAGAGCTAATCCTAACAATTATTTAGATGATTGATTGGCATAAAATAAATAAAATAAAACAGAGGTTCAGGATTTTGAAAACAATTAGAGAGAAGTTGAGATTCATGGGATTCAAGTATTTAATCACCTAGTGCCAATTATCGTTAGCAATATTTAGTTTGGAATTAAGATTTGTGTGGGAATGCAAAGTGGAATCGAATTACTCCCGTAATCTCTATTCCTAGTGAATTTCCACTCCCATGGCTTAAACACCCAATAATAAGATCAAAGATCAGCATTCAATTATTCCTAATTACTACCATCTCCCGATTGGCAACAATCTAGAATAAACTTCCCCTAATAAGTTCCCCTTTCCCAATGACCAACCATTAGGTGCAATCGTGTGTGCCCTAATTTATGCCCCAACTCCCATTGGTGACACAAACATGGCTATGAAGCTAGTAACTATGGCCATTAATTACAAGCATCAAACAATATTATCACGATTGCAACACAAGTATTAAACCCAAATAATAATATATTAAAGAAACTGAGAGCTCAGGCACATAGGTTCATAAACACTTTTACCCAAGAATCTCTAAAGAATTTAGCCAAGCATGACTAAATTATACATAGCAAATATAAATAAAGAATTACAAATCATCAAAAGAGTACAAGAATTAACCAGACGATTTTCCCAAATCTCCCTAGTCTTCTTCTTGCTTTCCAAGACAACTTGTGGCTCTTGATTTCTCTCCTTCTTGTCTCCAAGAATCTCTGAATTCTCTCGGTCCCCGTCTCTTCGTCCGTTTAGGGTTGAGGAAGGAGGGATTTTATAGTGGGTACAAAGTTGAGATGAAATAGGAATCTTGTACCAAATTGGACTCAAATTCTAATTCCTATATTTAAATAAAGAAATTGTCGTCTTTAATGATATTTAGAATTTAGAAGATTCCTTGAATTGCTAACTTTTAATATGGAGATATGAGCCTTGAAGTCCGCGCAATTGATATTAGGAAAAGAAATCTCGCGCTTGTATTGATTTTGCCCAGCTGCGCCACTTTAGGCGTTTGTTTTTATATCCGCGCCACTTTAGGCGTCTGTTTTTATCCCAGAAATAGACGCCTATTCTCTCGACGCGTGGAGAAAATTTTTCTCCACGCGTCGAGACTTCTTGTGCGCAAATTAGTTAGCTACTGGAAAATTTCAACGCGTCGAGTCCACTGGGCCCCGAACTCGTCCAAAATTGCTCAAAACTCATCCTTGAACTTCCCTTGCTCATATCTTTGACCTAAAATGGTTCAAAAACACTAACAAACACCGTAAAACATTCAAAACAAGTGTGAACCATAATTAAATGATAATAGCAAGGAAAATATGTATTAAATAAGCAAAATTAAAGAACTTAAATACTGAGGTGATTCAAAATAACTATAAAAACAAGCAAAGATATGATAACATCAGTCACCATGATTTACATCCTCCCAAATGCTCTGTCGGGCCGGGGTGTGGGGGGCCCTTAAGATTGGGATTCAGCCTTTGGAATAATTAACAATCAGGATGAGAGAGTGAGGGAATCTATATTGTCTAGTAAATATGGTGATCAGCAGTATAAAACCGTTGCACTTTAAAGTTTAAACCATGCAGTTTCGCAAGCGGGTACTTTTGAATTTTAGCTCTGGCGCGGGTATAAAAACGTTTGATCCAGCTAGCTTTCTAACAATCTAACCTCCAAGCCTTCCCTTCCAAACTTGCAACTCCATATTGGAGACACGACCTGAGTAAGCACAAAGCAGCTCCAGCAGAGATAAGAAACAATGGGGAAACGGATGCGGAAAATGAGATCGATCCGTTGCTGCGTCTCTCCTCGATTGAAGTTTCTCACTCCTCACACCATCTTCTCCTGGTTTCTCTCTCTCTCTCTCTCTTTCTCTCTCTGTACATTGTTGTATTGTATCTGCATTTCAATGCAAAAACGACTTTGATTGTTTTTTACTTATAAGACTGTGAGTGTGTATGAAGGGGATGAACTTTGAGGTTTTGATGGAGAAGTCTGATTCATTTAATGATACTGATTCCTTCTGTTGCGTGAGTTTGAGTGGTACGGTGTACCTAGCTATATGAATTTAGCTCAAATTTCTCTGCGAATAGTTAAGCTAAACTTATTCTATTTGATTATTGTCCAAAACATTGTTCTCTGAATGCCTCTTGTGAGCTTGAGCTTTTCCCCCACTTGCTATGTTTATATGTGATCGAATGCTGATGAGAGGTTAGAAATGTCATATCACTCATCTTTCCTGCTCGATTGCAAGCTTATTTCAACTCATCCATGCTGCATTACGAATTTCCGTTGTACTAATATCTGTATTATTCAGATGCTTTGGTGACTTGTGAAATTATACTAGCTTGAAAGCAATTTTATGTTATTAACAATTTCCTAGAGACTGAGCTTCCAAAACTGACATTTCATGAAGCTGGAGAAGCTACATCTGCTATGCAGTTAGATTTTCTGGAAATTATGTTTCTCATTGGTGATTGGTCTACTATTAATGCTCAAGGTATGAAGAGGACACATGGACTGAGGTTGCTAAGTTTTTGGATGGGAAATCTTTGATAATGCTTGCAGCAACTAGTAAGTGGTTCCATCATATCATCACGGCGGAGAGTGTATGGAAATATGCTTGTCTGCGTGACCTTGAGGTTGCTGATCCTGGAAAAGTGGGTTTCAAATGGATGAAGCTATATGCTACAGCCTTTGGTAACTGCCAATCCTTTATAATTTATGCACTGACAATTAACCATGAGCAGTGCCTGTAAGTTTGAGATTGATCTATATGGAAGCTATTTTTCAATCTGATGAACTGATCAATTAATGGCAGATGGTAGTCACTCTTACATGTTCCGCCAGAAAGATAAGCACATAGGTGAATAGCCCTATGATTCTTTACCTTTTCTTTGTTCACTTCAGCTTTACTCTCAACAAAAGCATTTCATTACAGGGTACTTCATCTCCCTGATTTTTCTCAATAACTTGGCAGACTGGATGCGCGTTGGAGCTTTTTTCTTTGATTCACAAGCTGCACTTCTGACAGAAAATCTGATTGCCCCTTTAAGGATTCCAAAAGAAGAGACAACAGAGAAAATGGTGGAGTTGAATGGTAGCTGTGTGGCAAAGCCTATCCGAAGTGGGATTTGGCTTGCTGGTAAGTTCATGTCAACTAAGTTTCATATAAAATATGTAAAGAGTCTCCAAGAGAGCATTATACAAGTATCACCCATGGATTTCATCCATTTCTTGCAGATCTACAACTTGTTCGTTGCCCAGTCTGTGATCTCAATACGTGTGATGGTAAGTAATACCTTGTGCTATCTTCATGAAGTTGCATAGCAGGATAAACATTATTCTTTTCAAGGTATTTCAAATTTGCAGTCTAACATCTCAATGTGTCTTCATTGTTCAAAACCAGTGTATGAAATTGGCATGATTGATGCAAGTACATTACTCTTCTTAGCAAGTATATTAATGCTTAAGAACTTTATGCACAGGACTGTCAAAGAAGATCATATTCCCTATTTTTCATGTGAAGTTGCAGGATTATAAAGACTAAAATACTGTTTTATGTACCCAGGAACTATGCAGACGTTAGATGCAAGACACATTGAATTGTTTCTGAGCGAGGGTTACCAGGATGGGAACTGGGAATACGAGTTGCTGGGGTCCCATGAGGTGAAGAAAGAAGCTGATGGAGCAGCTGCTGCAATTTTTGATATCAAGCATCTGAAAGATTGTGCCACCAATAGTGAGTTTTACCAACTCTGTTAACTGATCCTACCAATAGTTCCTGTTCATGTGCATCCGTAGAATTTCTTTTACAGTGATGAACGAGTTGGCTTACCTCATTTTTATCTTGATTCTCACAAGCATTCACTTATTACTCAAAAGTCAAAATTGAGATTTAACAATGTGGAATAGAATTTCTTAGAACAAGTTCATTTAATTTGACAGTGAGAGTAAGCTCTGTACAATTATCTTTTTCTTATTTCATTAATGCTTCACAGTGATCCTTGATTTGAATTCATGGAAGGGAAAACACAATGATTGGCAGCCTAAATCTATTGTAGCTCCACATGCAGTCGCAGTCAACACCAATTTACAGCCAAATGATGGTAAAGTTTTCTGAAATTGTGCCAGGGAAGACAGACCATAGTTTCTTTTTGTCAATTCCATGTATCATTACTCATTAGAGAATTAAAAAAATTTAGTCATACTTTGAGGTTTAAGATTACTAGCTCTGCATATGTTTGACTTGTTTAATTCTGGCTTCCAGGTCTTCAAGTGAAATACCATGCCATGAGGGCAGGAAAGGATGGTGAAATAGTTTCAATCAGAGTATCTCAGCAACTACTCTAGTCCTGCACAAATAACACCAAAGATTATAAAAACAACATCGATATCTTAAAGCTGAATCAGAAATTTTATTTTTTCCAGTATAGTGCGCTGACATTGGATGATAACTCCACAAATAACTATTGTCTTGTCCTGATGTTGTTCTGCACTGCATAGTGCATACTCATAATTTTAGTCAAGGTATAGGTACTTTACTTTTCAATTCATACGAGTAACAGAAATAAGACTATTCATCTTAGCATAGGCAAGTATTATGATACTTGCACACACTATTGATTGAGTATAAATTGGTGAATGACAGTAGCAATACCATTTCATCTGGCTGAAAGAATGCAGGATTCTTTAATTTTTTTTTAAATGCCTTTTGCTCTCTTTTTTGTGATAATATGATGTTTTAAACTTGTTCACCAACTCATGACCAATTATTTTAGAGTTGAATTTGCCATTATATTACTATATTGTTATCATGTATTTTTAATCTTCTCAAGTTGGTGATTTGGCCTATTTGGCCCACTGTCTTGACTTTGAGAATGTATATAATATCACTGCAAAAACCACGCTTCTCCCTTTCAAAACCAGAACTAGTTGTGGAAACACATTATGGCCATTCTGAAGGTCCTCTTTGTCCTCCCCTTTTTTCTTTCTTCCCTCATCTCTGCCAGAAATGATTGCACTTCTTCCTTTTGTGGGATAAGCCCTTTTCCTATACGATTCCCTTTCACAATACAAGGCCAACAACCTGATAATTGTGGCTTTCCTGGTTTTAATGTTAGATGCAGCAATCAAGGTAAAGCTGTTCTGAGCCTTCCGTATATGGATGATTTCATCATACGCGATATCAATTACGCCAACCAAGAAATCTTACTCTATGATCCATCTGGTTGTCTTGCTAGTCGGCTTCTAAGCTTGAACCTCTCATCTTCTCCTTTCAAGCCAGCTTATTACCAGAACTACACGTTTCTTAGTTGTTCTGGCGATTCCGTGATGCCTCGTTTAAATGCCATTGATTGTCTTAGCAACTCCTCTGTCTCCATCTTGGCCACTTCTTTGCCAACTCCTGCTGGAGAGATGAAATCATGCAGTATTCTCACCACTCTGCAGTTATCAGTGCCTTGGACATCTCAAAACGAGTTTGGGTTTTACTCCGACCTCGGCAGCCATATTCTGCTAGCATGGAGTGCTCCGGCTTGTGAGAATTGTGAAGCAAAGGGAGGCATATGTGGCTTCATAAACGCTACAAGTCGAGAAATTTCTTGCTTTAATGTCCCTGGAACAGGTAAAGATCTTCAGAACTATCTGTATGTTTTACTTAATTATTAGATTGTATTATTTCGAAATTCAAACAAGAGTTTGCTGACGCACTGGTGCCAGAAGGCAGTTCTGACTTTGGTTTGGTCAGATAATTCCAAGTTAGGTAGAAGGGTAGCTGAGATAAATTTAATCAGAGTTAGCAGATAATTCCGGAGGAGTGAAAAAGTCAACTGTAGATAACGGAGTTGTGAAGAAACATGTTTTTTTTTTAGGATTATCCTGTCGATCATTATAGTTGACTGTATTGAAATGTCGGTTTGATGAAATCTCAAGTCAAATATACCCTGTTATGATTGATGTGTTGTTAATGAATTTTCAGGCTTTTCTGCTGGTGGTCTGCATATTTTCAGAATCATAGCCTTGTCCATTGTTATACCCGCGATGACATGTTCGATATGTATATCATGTATCATCTGTCTACGAAACAGACGTGTGGTGGCGGCCAGAGCCCACCAAAACGGCGGCACAGGCACAGCTGCGGTAACGCCACAACCAGCCACCATTCACGCAGGCCTGGACGACTCCACCATTGAGTCCTACACGAAAGTGGTGGTGGGGGAAAGTCGGCGGGTTCCGGGGCCAAACCACACGGCTTGCCCAATATGCCTGGGGGATTATCATCCAAAAGAGACAGTTCGGTGCATTCCGGAATGTGAACATTGCTTCCACGCCGATTGCATAGATGAATGGTTAAGGATCAATGGCAGCTGCCCTGTTTGCAGAAACTCACCATCTCCTTCGCCTGATGTTCATGTTGTAGTTAACTACTGAATAAAAAAAATATTATGCTCTCAAAATTTTGTTTGTTACTTGGATTTCTTTTATAGCAAACCTCAATTCAACATTATACAAGTTGTTGATAAAATCACCATTTTCAATCCATTCTCGCGTTCATTCATTCATTCCCCAAAAAAAAAAAACAAAAATCATCAGGTAGTCGAAGCCTATAATCTGTAGATTTGTGTACTATAGGCTATAGCCTATGACTTGGCAAATTATGCTGTGCATCCGTATGCACCATGCATGGTGCATACGGATGCAAAAACGACGTCGTTTTAATAAAACGCGCGTCTCCTCTTAAAAAAAAAATCAGGTTCGATTCTCAGCAACAACTTATGAACTAAAATTCCATAATCGATGAACTATAATTCCATAATCGATGAACTATAATTCCATAATGTAATCTATGAACTAAAAATTCCAGAATGAATGAACTAAAATTCCATAATCTATAAACTAAAATTTCAGAATCGATGAACTACAATTCCATAATCGATGAACTATAATTCCATAATCTATGAACTATAATTCCATAATCTATGAACAATATAATGTTGTTGCTGGGAATCGAACCTGAATTTTTTTTAAAGGGGAGATGCGCGTTTTTTAATAAAACAACGTCGTTTTGGCATCCGTATGCACCATGCATGGTGCATACGGATGCACAGCATAACGATTGCTATGACTTCAGTTGTTATGGGCTTGGGCTCTTCTTCGGATTGGAATGTATAGGGCTGATCAAGGGCCCAACAACCACAACACATATATTCTTCTTCTTCTCTACTCAGCTGCAGACCCTACGGCCATTTTCAGATTTTCTCCTCTTCTCTAGCCATTGACCGCAATTTCTCCTTCCCTCTCGCAAATTTTCTCTGCTAAAGCACTGCGGAATAATTCTTACTGGTTTTTTAAATTGTTTTTTCTGTTTAATTATATTTTACTCTGCATATATATATATTATCATCATCGTCGTAGCACTCACCATAGTCTATATATGCATTTTACCAAATATTTAATTAATGGAAGATCCAACTGGTTTGAATTTACTAATGTCTTTATCTCTTAGGTGGCTTTATGAACTGAACCTCAAAGTATAGTCTATATCAGCTTGTCGCCCAAAAAATATATTATATATTTCTCGGTGCGGCGAAAAAAGCATATACGTACTTCATCAACTACATATATACCTTGTCGCTGCACGCATTGGTTACGCGTAGCCATGTCACGCTGACTTCTTCTTTGCTGAAATAATCAGAAGAATGACTAAGAACAAAACCCCTTTCTTCTCCACTTTAATTAATGGCTTCTCTGTCATCTTAAAAAGCTAGCTAGCTAGCTCAGATAAAAAAAAGAAAAGAATCCACAAAAATGGCCCATACAAGCCAGGCCAGGTTAAAGATGTTGATAAAGTTAAAGTATAGAGGAAGCTAAACTTAGAAAGGAAGAAACTTACCTTAATATTATATCCAAATCCTAGCTGGCTGGCCAATTCACTCACATACTATACTATCCTAGCTAGCTAGGATCTTTTACCATCGATCATTCAATTCACTCAGATCACTCTCACATTATTTCTTAAGTACTGAAACTGTACTAACATGCATATGGCCATTTTCCAAGCCCTTCTCCTCCTCCTCTTTGTTTATTCTTCCCTGTTAATACATGCTATGGCAGGTGATTGCCAATCATCCAGTTGTAGTGAAGGTGGAGTATCAGTTCGGTTCCCTTTCGGTTTAGAAAATCATCAGTCTTTCATGAGCTGTGCCTACAATCCTTTGTTCAGCCTGAAATGCAGCACTAGTAATTATTCTAGTAGCACTACCCAACAACGCTCACCTTTGGTTTTCAATCTCCCTTCTTCTGGCGATTTTTTTGTGCGTAACATAAACTACCTGAAGCAAGAAATACAACTCTACGATCCATCCAACTGCCTCCCCAAAAGGTTCTTGAAATTAGACCTCTCATTTTCTCCATTTAAGCCTCTGAGTTACACCAACTACACATTCCTCAGGTGCCCAAAACACGCCGTGAAACACCCTTCCAATTCCTTCTCTATCATTGACTGCCTCAGCAACTCCACGGTTTCTGTACTGGCAACTTCTTCTATGAGTGTAGTGAGAGCGATGAACATATGTGAACCGTACGCTGCTAATTTGCACGTTCCGGTTTCGCGCTCTGGTCAGTCTCAAGACTGGTTTTCCTCTGACTTTAGACTCAGATGGAATGCTCCAGATTGCAGGAGGTGTGAAGCACAAGGTGGTGTATGTGCATTTGCTCCATTTGCAGATTATACAATCCAAGATATCGCTTGCAGTTTCGACAACGCTACTACTCCAGCTACCGGTAAGCTAGCTAGCTGCCCTTAATTCATTCATTCATTCTAATTTACTGCAGATTATTCATCCCATCAGATCCAGATAAGAAAATCATTCATACATATTTCATGGTACGGTGTGAATAATCATGAATTACTAAGTAATTTCGGGCTTCCTTTCCAATTTATATTACTATATATATATATTTAGGCACCAAGTCATCCGTGAAAAAGGGTACAAGGATTTTCTGGATAATTGTAGTGTGCATAATTCTCCCGGGCGTAGCATTCATGTCTTGCATGTGGTGTTTGAAGAAAACCGGCGTCTATATAACAAAGCAACTAAGCAGAAGTTGGTATAGGAGGTCTAGGAGTAGAGGAGCCGTGCATAACCCCTCCGAGATGCCAACAACTAGTGTGCCAACACCATTGTTTACAGCAGAAGCAGAAGCAAGGGTGTTTGAAGATGATATTGGATCATCATCGAGGAGGAATAGATGTGCCATTTGCCTACAAGATAATCAGCCGTGGGAACAGAGACCCTGGCTAATGCTGCAGCAGCAGCAGGGGTGTCAACATTCTTTCCACCCTCACTGCCTTGCACAATGGCTGGAATTCAATCAGGGGTGTTGGAGATGTCCAGCTTGTTATTGGGATTCTCTTATTACTTCCTCCCCGGAGATGGAGATGGCCACTGCCAGGACTTCTCCAACACCACAGCCCACAATGAGTAGCAGCAGCAGCTTCACTAATTCCATGGCTACAGCAGATGCAGAACATAGCACTAGTACACTACTGTACACAGCTAAGGTGTTTGAAGATAGTGAATGGGTTCCAAGGCGAGGCGAGAATAGTTGTGCCATTTGCCGAGACAAGTATGTGGCTCAAGAGAAACTAGGACTTGTAAATGGCTGCCAACACTCTTTCCATGCTCACTGCCTTCAAAGTTGGTTGGATACCAGTCCTACATGCCCACTTTGTAGGAATACTTCACTTTCTTCCATTCCTACCTGATTAATTATATTTATTCCCAGTTCAGTTTTACAATCTTAATTGAATACCAGAGTATGTAGAGCTAGCTAGCGAGCTTACTATTATTATTACAATCTTGAATACCATAGTATGTAAATACACTCCATTTTTAACTTAACATGTACATAGAAAACATGATAAAATGAAATAGATAGAAATGAATGTTAAGCTAAGAGGCATTATTATTTTCTGGGGCGCTAAAATCAGGCTCAGCTGGTTTCTGCAGCAGCAAAGGAGGCAGTCTAGGAGACAATTTGGGCACGCTAAGTGGATGGTTGCGCCTTACTGTTCTTAGCACGTTAGCTGCAAACCTCGAAGCATAAATAGTAGCGCCTAGGCTTGGTGTGGTTTCCCCCTCCTCCCTCCTCATCCTCAATATTAATGCATCTTGCAGCCTATCCTCTTCTTCTCTAAGGGACTTCTCCAGCTTGTTCCTGCAATGTCTACGCCATGCTGCCTGAATGAAGCAGGCTGCCCATGTCTTCCACTGATGCGAGTAGAATCTGAACTTGTGTTGAAGCTGTTTGCTGTGGAGGCGTCGATACTGAGAAGCAAAAAACTTGAGGAAATCGGCAGTGAGAGCGAAAGCTTCAACATCTGTCAAAGCTTGCACTGTTCTAGTAGAGATGGGAAGACTAGAGGAGGAGTTGGGGTCTAGAGCCCAAGTGAGAAGTTCTTCTCCACAGAAGTCACCAGCATTGAGAACATCAGAGTTTAAGAACCCTGTTCTTCCACCATTTGTAGTCATAGTTAATAGGTTCCCTCTCATCACAAAGATCATCTCGTCCACCGGATCCCCTTCCCGCACTATGCAACTCTTTTCTGTGTAAAGAACCGGTTTCAGACGATCACAAATTGCGTCTAGTAGTTGTTCATCCATTGTCTTAAACATATGAACCTACATATACATACAATTCATCAATTCAAGGAATGAATCAAGAAAATAAAAATGCATGCATGCATATATGCAATATATAATGCAGAGATGTAGGTAGCTCATGATTACTCACTCTTTTGAGTAAAGACCAGCAGAGATGGCGATTAATGTCTCTCCTCAAGTCTTTAGGGAGGTTAGAAATAAGAGATTCTTCATCAACCCCCCTTGTTTCTTGCCATCTATATTGTTCATATCTTCTGATTCTCTCCCTCAAATTATCAGGAAGCATGCGATGGGACATCCACTGCTCTGCATCCATCCTTTTCACTCTCATCTCTTCTACTCTCACCGTGATGGACTGCAGATATTTCTGTATGTACCAAATTTATAAATTACACTTCCACTTCCACTTTAATTATTTTATTTGACTTCATATATTATTCTTACCTGCATGTTGCCAATAAGCAACGAAAACAAAATCAACCCAATGATGGAGATAAGAATGGCGAAAAGGATTTCGCCCACAAAGTTGCTGGTTTTCAGATTTTGCCCAAGAGAACTGCAGGTACATCCAAATATTCAAACAACCAAAATCTCAGCTCTCAGATCACAAAACCATTATATTATATTTATTATTGTTCATATATAGAATCAATCATGCGATATAATGAATGACACAAGTAAGTATGATAGTATATCATTATCATTATATATGTATAAGATGGAAAAACAAAAAGTGGCAAGGGCGAATGAACCTAACCTTAAGTTTCTGAGCCCCCACCAGAAGCAGTAGAAGAGTTTAGACCAGAAGTATCTCTTCTCCACCACATTAGATTTGAGAGCATCAAGAAATATTCCAAAATCAAAGTCATCAGCCTTTAAATTTTCAGGTTCAAGCAGAGCGCAAGAAGTATTAAGAAACGAGGACGAAAAGTCTCCTCCTCTACGCCCTAATTTTGTGCAGTAGAGGAAATCTATGTCACAACTGCCATGTTTCTCACAGGCCCTCCGCCAGCATTTATCTTGACGTTCTATAGCAGTAATGTACCAGATGGCTCCAGCTACCTGCATGCACCCAGCCCACAATATCATTATCATTATCATTATCATTCAAATGCATGGACATTAATTCATTATTATACATATTGCATGCTTACATAGCTAGCTATCATGTAGAGAAAGAGATTGAACGCAGCACCAGCCCAGGCAGTTTCAGTGAAAAACCCAGAAGTTCGAGTTACTTCCTTGTACAAAGGATATATTCTAAGCAGCCTGGGAACAGATTGGACCAAAATCACAACCTTCAATATGTCTTTGGCCACCATAATAAAGGGACGGTCCGCGCGGGGAATCATCATGAACAGTACAACCTACGCACAGTACACCTACGTTACTTTTCTTAATAAACACAAACTAGCTAGCTTAGGTGTCGTCGTAGGACGTAATTATATATATACCTGCGGGAGAGGGAGAACAGCTAGGATGTCGATGAAGAAGTAAGAGAAGAAATAACGCTTGGCTATGGCAGATGGATCCACAATCAAGTCACCCCTACCAAACACACGAGATGATGGAGGAACGAAGCCAGTGCGGAATTGCAGAATAATGTGAAATATGTAGAAAAAGTCGAAAACAGAACGAAGAATACAGGCAGTGATCTCCAAAGTCCTGTCTAAACCAAGGCATTTATTTTGGTCATCCACCACTGGGATGTAAAAGAAAAGAGGATCCACTGTCGCTGCTAATATGCAGGCAATCACGAATATTCTATTCCACCGTTGCAGAAATGGACCTTGGGGGTCATGCATCTTGCTCTTCCACCACCTACTACAAGTAGTAGTAGAAGAAGAAGAAGAAGAAGAAGAAGAGTGGTTTATATTTGCCTCCTGACGATCAAGATCACGATGCGGATGTATACGCCGCAGCGTGCAGCATATCCTTTGCGACCCCTTCTCAAATGCTCTTCTGATGCTGCTCATCACCCTAAATAATCTTCCATTGTTGCTCAAGGAAGATTGGCCCTCTGACCCGCCATAAGACGATGACGGCGACGACTTTTCAGAACGCCACTTCTCAAACCTCACATATTTCTCCTGCTTCAAATTCATACCAACTCTGCTCTGATCTAATCAAGAATTGAAACACCAATAAATTAAAGATTGGATTTTTCTTCCTTCAATGATCAATAAACTTCATTCTGCTGGGTATTCCTTCAGTTACTACCAAAACAGAGATAACACATGCACCCTCACAATACCCAAGCAAGAGATTCGCTGGAAAAAAGAAAAGAACTTCAGGGGAAAGAAGGAAGGAAGGAAAAAAAAGATGGAGCAGGAAACCGGCGACGGAGAAAGAAGTAGTATGTATGTATGTATGTAGAGGGCGGGAAAACAGAGAAACAGTGATCAACTTATACTACGAGATACGGGGTGAAGAAATTAAAGGGAACAAATAAGGTTTAGAATTGGTTGTGGAAGAAAGTTGAAGCTAGGAGAATGGTCGTCGATGGAGCTGCAACGTAACTAGCTACGCTGTAAGTAGAAGGAGATGAATAACTGACTGGGTCTTCTCTAGCACAGATGAGAGATGGCGACTTGAATTGAAGGGCGGGAGAGAAGGGAAGACTGAAGACCCAGACAACCTTACCCCCTATCAACACTCACCATATATATAATTAACCACTTGGAAGAATTGAAGCAACAAAACGACAAAAACTCCGTTTGAGAAATTTCTTCCCAACTACGAGCTCGACTATGTTTGGTCCTTGGCTTCCACGAAATCATACCATTCAACTCATACGCTCTTCAAACCTTGACTAAAATTAACAAAACTTTTTAATAAACCTTTTAACTGTGTGCTCGGATGATATTACTATTATCATTTGTATTCCGCATAATCATATTGAACAAATAATATAATTAGAATTAAATTACAGTCACCAAAAAAATACTTTTAAATTTTGTCTCACTATTAGAAACAATTATTTATAAAAAAATTAATCACTATATTTTATTTTAAAAACGTTTACTAAACCCAACAAGTCTAACCAACCCAAACGTTCACACACGTCTCCATTATGGTGTCAAGCTCACCATTTCTTACCATTCTAAAGGTAGTACGAACACTGTCGCATATTTGCAGCGTGATGATTTAAATATAGTGATTTAGCAAATCTTAATCATGCATGCGCCATGCATTTAATTAATTAATTAAGCAGGTCAACGTTTACTTGATTAACTATATATAATCCTAATTGGAAAAAACACCAAGATTGAAAAAGAAATATTAATATATTCTTTTGCTTTATCTACCTTAAAATTTTATATTATTATGGATCGGTTCGTAATCTTCTTATTTGTATAAGATGAATTTAAAAAGACATCTTATTTCATTGTAAAGATTTCTGTGAGACAATGAGTTTATATTTTTTGAAAGGGCAATGAGTTTATATTTGATAGTTTTTCTAACGATTTTCTTATCATAAATTTTGTGGGAAGATAGAATTGATTGTATGGGCCATGGGGCAACATATTTTGCAGAGCATCAAGTCTGGATAGTTATGCTGTGCATCCGTATGCACCATGCATGGTGCATACGGATGCCAAAACGACGTCGTTTTATTAAAAAACGCGCGTCTCCCTTTTAAAAAAATTTCAGGTTCGATTCCCAGCAACAACATTATATTGTTCATTCATTCTGTAATTTTAGTTCATAGATTATGGAATTATAGTTCATTGATTATGGAATTATAGTTCATCGATTAAAGATTGGATTTTTCTTCCTTCAATGATCAATTAAACTTCATTCTGCTGGGTTTTCCTTCAGTTACTACCAAAACAGAAACAACACATGCACCCTCACAATACCCAAGCAAGAGATTCGCTGTAAAAAGAAAAAAAAAAACTTCAAGGGAAAGAAGGAAGGAAAAAAAAGATGGAGCAGGAAACCGGCGACGGAGAAAGAAGTAGTAGTATGTATGTAGAGGCCGGGAAAACAGAGAAACAGTGATCAACTTATACTACGATACGGGGTGAAGAAATTAAAGGGAACAAATAAGGTTTAGAATTGGTTGTGGAAGAAACTTGAAGCTAAGAGAATGGTCGTCGATGGAGCTGCAACGTAACTAGCTAGGCTGTAAGTAGAAGGAGATGAATACTCGGTCTTCTCTAGCACAGATCAGATATGGCGACTTGAATTGAAGGAGATGAATACTCGGTCTTCTCTAGCAAGAGAAGAGAAGACTGAAGACCCAGACAACCTTACCCCCAATCAACACTCACAATATATATATATAATTAACCACTTAGAAGAAGAAGAATTGAAGCAACAAAACGACAAAAACTCCGTTTGAGAAATTTCTTCCCAACTACGAGCTAGACTATGTTTGGTCCTTGGCTTCCACGAAATCATACCATTCAACTCATACGCTCTTCAAACCTTGACTAAAATTAACAAAAATTATTAATAAACCATTTAAATGTGTGCTCTGGGTTTTCAAAAAAAAAAAATGTGGTCTGATGATATTACTATTGTCATTTGTATTCCAATCAAGAATGTTAGCATAATCATATTGAACAAATAATGTTATCAAAAAAATATATTAAACAAATAATATAGTTAGAATTAGATTACAGTCACCGAAAAATAAACCTTCTAAATTTTGTCTCACTATTAGAAACAATTATTTATAAAAAAAGTTAATCACTATATTTTATTTTAAAAACGTTGACTAAACCCAACAAATCATAACCAACAAAAGGAACCCCCTCACTTTGGTGAGACTCGATCCCTGGTCATTCTTCCAAAGTTTCACCTTTGTGACCAGTTGAGCTGTCCATGCGGGTGCATTTAATTAATTAATTAAGCAGGTAAACGTTTACTTGATTAACTATATATAATCCTAATTGGAAAAAACACCAAGATTGAAAAAGAAATATTAATATATTCTTTTGCTTTATCTACCTTAAAATTTTATACTATATTATATTATTATGGATCGGTTCGCCATCTTCTTATTTGTATAAGATGAATTTAAAAAGACATCTTATTTCATTGTAAAGATTTCTGTGAAACAATGAGTTTATATTTGATAGTTTCTCCATCAATTTTCTTATCATAAATTTTGTGGGAAGGTAGAATTGGTTGTATGGGGCAACATATATATTTTGCAGAGCATCAAATCTTCCCCCCCTACTTAAATTTTCTAACCAAAATATAAGTTAAGGGTTGACGTGAAATTTGTATTTTATTCAATTCAAACAAAGGAGTAATTTCAACACGTATCTATCTATCCCTGCAGGGAGCAGTAGGGAGACAAAAGCATATATATTGTCAATCTTTCTAGTACTAACACATATACATGCATGATTGATACATGTATGCATCTTTCATTTGGCATATGATACACACACAAATAGTAATTGAAGGTGGATATATAAACTTTGGGTGCTGAACTGACAAAAAATGAATAAATCATCTGAGAATATTACAAAAGTAGTCTGCAGTTGGTTCAGGTTTGTTAGTTTGTATACTGTCTGTCAATGTCAAAATTAAAGCCAAACAGCAGTGATAGTACCAGCATCCATGCATCTAAAAAAACAACAAAACTTGAAAGGTAGAATACTATAACAAAGTTAGATCCCTACACTACACTACACTTTTCGTTTACACTGTTTCCCTACAAAGAAGTGGAGGACAACTAAGATCTACTCATCATATCATGTCACCGCCCTACTTCCTCCAAACTGCCTTCCATGTATTTTGAGAGGCTGCAGCTGAACATACACGATTCAGTAGTTCACATACAACGGCAGGCAGGCATCTGCGCCATCCTAAAATGCATGCCCGGAGGGAGGATCTTATGATCAAGTATGTGTCAGACGAAACAAAAGCTCGCCTAACAAATAACAATGGGAGAATGAATCCCCCCTTGTCACACTTGCCATCCAGCCTAAAATTCACCACCTTCCTTAGCTTGTCTTCCGATTGCCAATCTGCCAAAACAATTATACCCTCCTGAAAACGTAATACATTATTGATGAGGTCAAGAGACCATTAGATACCCCCACTTTAATTTGTAGGAATAATTCACTTTCTTCCATTCCTACCTGATTATATTATATTCCCAGTTCAGTTTTACAATCTTAATTGAATACCAGAGTATGTATCAAATGCATGCGAGCTTTAATTTTCTTTTGTTTCTGAACCGTGCCAAAAGACAAAGCTAGGACAGAGATATCAAACATTAACTGCAGGCACATGTTCGTCGTACAAAACATATAGATAGATAAAGTGAAATAGACGGAAATGAATGTTAAGCTAAGAGGCATTATTATTTTCTGGGGGGCGCTAAAATCAGGCTCAGCTGGTTTCTGCAGCACCAAAGGATCGGAGGCAGTAGTCTAGGAGACAATTTGAGCACGCTAAGTGGATGTTTCCGCCTTACTGTTCTTAATTAGCACATTAGCTGCAAACCTTGAAGCATAAATAGTAGCGCCTAGGCTTGGTGTGGTTTCCCCCTCCTCCCTCCTCATCCTCAATATTAATGCATCTTGCAGCCTGTCTTCTTCTTCTTCTTCTCTGAGGGACTTCTCCAGCTTGTTCCTGCAATGTCTACGCCATGCTGCCTGAATGAAGCAGGCTGCCCATGTCCTCCACTGACGTGAGTAGTATCTCAACTTGTGATGAAGCTGTTTTCTGGGGAGGCGTGGTCGAAACTGAAAAGCAAAAAACTTGAGGAAATCAGCAGTGAGAGCGAAAGCTTCAACATCTGTCAAAGCTTGCACTGTTCTTGTAGAGATGGGTAGACTAGAGGAGGAGTTGGGGTCTAGAGCCCAAGTGAGAAGTTCTTCTCCGCAGAAGTCATCAGCCGTGAGAATATAAGAGTTATTTGTAGTCATAGTTAACAGCTCCCCTGTCTTCACAAATATCATCTCGTCCACCAGATCCCCCTCCCGCACTATGCAAGTCTTTTTTATGTAAAGAACCGGTTTCAGACGATCACACACTGCGTCTAGTAATTGGTCATCCATTGTCTCAAATATAGGAACCTATCATACCATAACCATACCATCCAGCACGAATATAATTAATAACAAAAAAAACTTTAAGTTCTTGGTTCAAAGTTAGTTAAAAAAAAAAAGTGGCTACTGTACTCACTCTTTTGAGTAAATACCAGCAGAGACGATGGTGATTAATGTCTCTCCTCAAGTCTTTAGGGAGGTTAGAAATAAGAGATTCTTCATCAACACCCCTTGTT